ACAAGTAATTAATTCTCGATTAAGCACATATCAGAAGAAAAGTAACCTATCTTAAATGGTTTGTTCAATAAACTTCCCTTGGCATTAAAGCTGAAATATGAGCAACCCGGTCCTCTCAAAAGGAAAAAAGATACCATGCGTCAGCTTTCAGCATTTTGTTCAGACGTTAATATACAAAGGCGCTTGCCACTAAACTCTGCTGGAGACGCTGCTCCTTTGGCAAATGTATACTGGTGTTTGATTACAGGGAGTTAGTTTAATCAGTTTTGTCACACAGAAAAAGGAAACGTACCTTTACATATCCTTATTGTTGAGCAAACCAATTAGAATAGATGGTTTTCAGGGTTTTCCTTTACGAAATGAAGAGCGCCTTGTTAGTTTCTGTGTTGAACATTCTTTCGCTTGCGATCGTCACATATGGTGAGTACTAAAAGTAACTTACTTATATCGCATTTCACGTTAAAAAAAAATATTGGCGATAAATTTTGATGGCGACTTCATGGTTTGGGATCCGTGTCTGAAATCTCAGTGAGGAAAAGTAATCTTTACCGCATGCTAAGAGCAATAAACTTACTTCGGCGTCGAAGCCGGAAAATAAAACACACAGTACACTCAAAACAAAAGAGGTTGCTATGTGTCATCCGCCAGCATTTCGTCATCAAAAACACAAAATTGTGAGACATCACCGCTTCCATTTCTAAGAATCTGCCTGATTTCCGTAAATTGAAACAAGTTTATCCAAGAAAGGGACTAGTCTGGGACTATTGAATGGGCATGAGGGTTAGTAGAAATCGTCAAAGAAAGTTCGCTACCGCAACGGTCAGTCCCAAGGCTCGTCAGCCAGGTTCTCACGGGAGGATCTGTACGTGCTATTAAACCATTGGAGGCATAACATCCAATATCTTCGAGACAATACGTGACTTTGCTGATACTGCGTCAAAATAGGTCGGCATTAGATAACATGGGGTGAAGTAGACCCGAATGATTAGCATTTTCCGATCATCGTAGTGACGTCATCTCCCGACCGCACTGCAAACTTCGGAAATTAACATGGCGACGTAAGCATGTAGACTGTAGCCTGTAAGCTCAGACCAGGAAACGCATCGCTTTGGTTTACGTTTGTAGACTAATAAGCAGTTCAGCAGTTCGCGGGACAAGCAGATGAATGTTTCCGGAGGAATTCACGAGCCGACATATTCTCGAGCTACCTCACTCGATGTTATTTGGACCTTTTGCACAGGACAGTACATAGCATAGGGTGAGGATTATTGTTATTATTTTGAAAATTCTAAGTTATATAGTTCAGTGTCTATCATATACACTCTGTTGTTGGCCTGCTTTGTTTAAGTGATGCAACTTTATGCAATATTAGTCTTATTTTTCTATGCCAAAACTTTGGTCAATTTTATAAGCTTACATTTATCTTAATAGTATTAATTACTTGAAGAATATTTGAAAAATTGGTTAAGAGCAAGAAATTCAGAACAAGTTATGTACCACTCAAATCATTGCCTCTTCACCTTGATTGTATGCCCGCTGGGCAACCCTGAATCTAACTGATTGTTATGTCTCTGGGGTATGGATTTTGTATTGATAATTGTATGAATGTGAATATTAATGCAATTAATGATTTACACCATGATTTCCAAAGTCCGTGTCAGCCTTGAAACTGGAAAATTTTACGGTGTTCGTCGTTTNNNNTCGGGTCTACTTCACGCTATGTTATCTAATGTCGACCGTCAAAATAGATGCTAGGATTAGTCGAGCCCGTACCAGGTCGCTTAGCAGGCATGTTGTCTCGCGTAGCCTCGATCTTTGTTGTTGTAGTATGAGATGTAGAGCCAAAAACGCTTTGCAATTTCTCTTGAGGTTGTGCGTTTGCAAACCTTTTTCTTTCCATGACGGGCCGAAGAGATCTTTAATCTGTGTGGGATTCCGTTCCATTCCTTTTCACGCGGATCCGTTTGTTGTATAGTCTCGAAAAGCTTCACAAAAGTCTAAAGAAGAATATATTTGAAACCCTCTTTCGCTCTATGATGGACCAAGGAGAACATGCTGCAATAAGTCTTTTCTAAAGAAAACATCAATGTCATAACTAATGTAGATATTTTTTTATGACTTTCCAGAGATCCCAACATGTTCACGACCGAGAAATAAGAATAATCCAAGCGATTTTAGATCTTCTGTCTTCAAAGGTTAGCCCTGACTAGGATATCCTTTAATGACTTTCGTTTCCAATTCATAACTGGGGAGGTTAATTTAGATTACCCTTGAGCGCAGTTGGTTTCAGAGACAGCCAAATGATAATGCCGGCATTACATGCGTGCAAAACGCATATTTTCTTCTGTGCGCTATTTTCTTTGCTTTTGAGTGACCTCTTTCTCTCAGAAATATTAAACTCAGAGATCAATATTTTCAAAATTTCATCTGGGTATCCTTCAGGGGCTTTTTGAAAATCTGTACGTGTTTATCAAACGTGAAGCGTGAAAAGTGTAGCGCTGCTCTATTTACGAATTCTTTTTTTACACCTACAGGATGAAGCGAATAAAAATTCGTGTATTGCTGTTCTTTGCCTCTTTGTAATGCGTTTCTACTTGTTGGTCGATTTCTTCTTAATCTCTCGCCTTTGCAAATTTTTGTGTCCGAGAACTACAACTTCTGACGCAGATTTATCAATGGTCGTGATGAATAAGTTCATCTGTCCGTTGTTCATTTGACGGGTTCCTGATCTGCTGCTGGCGTGACTCTATCTTTTATCCTTTTACCTTTGCCTATGTGTTCTTTTTCGATTTTTAACTGCCTTTATCATCATTTGGGTTTTGTTTCGCCCTTGTTGTTCGTTTCTGAGAAAGCAGAGAATGCATTTTGCCGGTTTGGGCTCTCAAATTTCCAAGATGCTTATCGGCCTCGTTTAGTCTAGCTTTCTATTCTGCGCCTAATTTTTTCACATCACTCGCCTTAAATGTTTTGAGTCCATGGCCATTGACTCTACGTTATTTGAAAGTTTTATCACATTTATCTCTCTAGTGTTTGCTTGCTCTAGTTTTCTGAACCTTGTTGTAAGTCTCTCAAAGCTTCTGCGGTGAAATTTTACCTGCGCTCCGACAAGGTCGTGCTCTACTTTCTTTCTAATGCAGCTTTCATACCGATTTAAAATCTTCATTGACCGCGACGTTCGCCTTCATCTCGAGATGAGCTTTTAGGAGTCCGATAGATCTCTTTCTCAGTAGTTTCGGGGATCTCTAGACTCCATTTCATCGAAGCTCCGCTTCCGGCGCTCAATCGATTTCTTCCATCTCTGCGTCATCTTCCGATAGATAAAAAGCTCCGAATGCTTCGGGGTCATACAGTTACTATCGGAGTTTGAATGTCTAGAAGACATGGCTCTCTTTAAGTATTTTATGAAAAGTCCTCGATGTTTGAAGAAAGGGACATTGCCAAAAATTTGTCGTTGAGTTTTTCATTGCAGTCTTGTAACTTCGTTCCCGGGATAACATGACAGCCCTCCCCGACACAGGTCCCAAGATGCGCGGTCGTGAACAAGAAAATTGAGCTTTCACTGCTTGTAGAATCGCTAGGTTTTACCGATTGTGATAATTATTTCACTATGATGATCAGTAAAACAGGGAAACCCTTTTGATTGAAAAAAATGTTGGAGTTAGTGGCACTCGTAATAGGTCACACTGACCAGTTCATTGTCTCTATGGGCGCAAGGCAGAAACTATTTCTTTTCAACCCAGGTCACTTTCTGTAAAGGGATTGCACTTTGTAGCATTAACTCACCATTCGTCTCGAAACCTTGACATCAGCTAAATGTCTTTTTTTGTTTGAGGCTCCACGTGTGGTCAACCAATCTCTCCTCATGGCTCAGTCATCATCCATCCTACTAGGCGAGAGAAGTACCAAAACGGCGATGTTATTCTCTTTGGCTGTAAACAGGGCTTTTATCTGGATGGAATGCCAATTATAACATGCAATGGGAACAAATGGACACAGTCACACTTCCGATGTCTGGGTAGGATCTGTTTAGAAAAAAAAAAACAAACCTTTCTAACTTCAGATCAGCACTGTTTCGTGGCTCTGCATTTCAGAGCTTGTCTGTAATAATGTTTTGCATGTCAAAATTCTCAAGGTGCAGCTTTCTAGCAATATGAAATATAAAAACACCAAAGACGACAAGAGTTCTAAAATGAAAGAAAAGAGGTTTGTTTTCTATCCTGATCACTTATTGCCACCTGCATGTGAAATAATGAAAAGAAATAATGCTTTTTGCCCAAGACAAGATAGTTTNTAACTTCATATCGGCACTGTTTCTTGGTTCTGCATTTCGCAGTAATACATAGTCACACAACAATGCAAAAATATTTTGCAAGTCAAAATTCTCAAAGTGCAGCTTTCTAGCAATATCATATACAAAAACACCAAAGACAAAAAGATTTCTAATATGATAAAAAAGAGATTTGTTTTCTATCCTGATCACTTATTGCTACCTGTGAAACAATGAAAAGATATAATCCTATTGTCCAACACAAGACTGAGTTTTCCATTGCCACTAAGCGACAAAAACTGACCTACAAATTCTTTTGCTTCATTTAGGGTTCTGTCCGGAGGTGCATAACATTTCAAATGGTAAAGTATCCCACGTGACCCCACAAGTTGGAAAGGCTGCCATAGAATTTCACCGTGAAAATAAAAGTTTCCAGCTAATCGGTAGGATAAGGCTGGAGTGCATACATGGACATTGGAAGGGAGAGTTACCTTCCTGTCATAGTAAGTTTTTGAAATCATCGTCATACCACTTAACTTGCATGAGAACAGCATCAAAACTTTGACAACAACTCGTCTCAACACTGACTGGAATTGCTTGCAACTTAACTGTTTTTTATCATTTACCTCGAAAATGTTAATGCGAATTGAAAATATGAAAAATTCACTTGAAATAAATCTATTTTTCTTCTATAGAGATGCCGTCGTGCGTAAGTTTGAAAAGTCCAGCTAACGGTATACTACATGGCAACGACAACAGCCATAGTGCAGAGGCAAAATTTACCTGTTTTACAGGCTTTGATCTATTTGGGGTTTCAACGTTCACATGCAACAAAGGCGTTTGGAGTTCACGTGTTCCAACTTGTAAAGGTAAACCGTATTATTTTCACTGACCAATTACCCTCTTAAAAATAGCTTCTTCCAAATCTTTAGCACCAAAACTCAGTTGATTTTGTCCTTCTGTTGCTGGTTCTTTTGTTGCTGGTCCTTCTGTTGATGGTCATGTCGTAAATTATCGTTCTACGTTAATTTCTCAGCTTATTGCCCGAAGATTAGGGATCCGCCGAATGGACACGTGTTTGGTTCACGCTTCTCACATGGACAAGTGGTAACTTTCAGATACAAACATGGCTATGAGTTAGTTGGAGATCGCACCCTTTGTTGTACTAATGGAAGATGGAATTCTTCTCTCCCGCAATGTAAAGGTAATCCTAGGAATGATCTTTACGAGTAGAGCGTGGCTAATAAATTGTGCACACCATATTCTTCAGAAGCATTATTCCTGGAGAATAAAGCTATCGGCAGATTTAAACCATTTCTTGTAATAGATGATTAGAATAAAAGGATGAGATTTAGTTGCTACACTAACATCGTTACTGTCTATGCTTTAATTTGTAATCATGTCATTCTAAATTAATACAGTCTCAGTCAAAAATCAAACCCCACATTAGGTTGTGATACTTTTCTGGGTACTTTTATATCAATTAAGTATAGCGACACATGACTAATGTATGTTAAGGTTGGAAAAATCAATTCCTGTCTAGAGTTCCAGTCGCAAAAGCTAATTCTAAGTTTTAAAATAAACAGCTGTCTTAATTTGTTACTTCTATTGATGCAATGTGCGAAACCCTCCATTCCGAGTAATTCACAAATCATTTATCCACGATCGGATCTAGTCAGATACCCTCACCGTACGACCCTCTCTGTGGCCTGTCATAAAGGACATCTTCTGACGGGATCGCCCATTATGGTCCATAACTATACTACGTCACTGAAAAGAGAATTCATGTGCAAGGGTATGCATACATATCTCCCTTGAAAAAGAAAAAGAACTCCATTTTCATCTATGAGCCATCCGACCCCGCTCACTTGCA